AGCAGCAGCAGCAGTCCTTGGCGCCGGGGACTTGGGCGCCAGCAGAACCTGTACCTGGGAGGGCAAAACAAACCCCGCGAGCCTGGCGTTCGGTACACCCTATCATAAAGTAAGGAGGTCTAATTGAGCTACGGCTCTCTATCCTGCTATTTGTACAAATAAAAGACCACATCTTGATGCAAAATAAACACAAAAGCACTGTTGTGACTATAACTGGGAGTCATATACTAATTTATATAATAAGTGGTTGTGCACGCTTTATTCAAGATTATGGCTGCAAGAAATGGCATGAATTGCTGGGTGTGTTTAATGCTGGATTATAGCAATTTGAAACATGTCAAACACATGGCTAATGCCTCATGCTTCACTCATTCTTGCGTAAACCTGCATAGCCACCATCCATTATACCCTTGGTAACAACACAATTCTGCAAGTAAATATTGTTACACTAAGTAACCTTTCAATTCAAGTTGTTTAGGAAGAGAAAATGCAATCTTGTGCAGTCAGTTCCAGTGTCAGTTTAATGTTTCAAAAGGGAAGTGGTGTAGAGAATAAGTATCTGTACAGTGACTTGCCGGCTTAAAACACACGCGTGCACGTGTGCGCACACGCGCACGCTGCAAATGTGCAGTTTGCTGCAGGGGGGAGAGGTAAAACTGTAGCTTCGAACTTCACAGGACCAGTATTTCTTTTTTAGTACGGGTGATTGCTTGGTTACCCTGGCAGAATTAGGCATTCGACCTGCCACATAACCACACGCTAAAATAATCTACAATTTCATTCTTTCTTGCAGAGACCAGCAAATATTTTCCCCATACCTTTGTTTAAAATAGTTGGTAGCAGAGCTTATGTCTCACCTTTGGCAACAGGAATTTGGGAATCACGGCAGAAGTAGGTGCGGGTGAATGTATGTGTCTGTGAATGTGGGTGCGTGTGTGCATGCGTGCCTGTGTAGGCACGCTCATGACTGACAGCGAGTGTGACAGCAAGAGAAAAAGAGAAGGATTAGGAAGTGTGAATGTGTATAAATGTGTGTAAACAGGGACCCTTATATTTTTTCTTGTCCTATTTGAAATACTAAACTTTCAGCCTTAGTATCTGGCAGTCATTGTATTTCCTTGGTATTTATTTATGATGATTACGCTAACAGCTCACACTACTGTTGTAATAAAAGCAAGAAAAAAAGTACGTTAGTTTGCTTAGTGAGATGTTGCAGGTTCAGATTGTTCTGCCACCAATAGCTGAAATTACTGATACATAGATACCAGAAATGATCCTCATTTAGATGTTTTCAGTTTTTTAATTTGTAAGGGTTTTGAGTTATTAGCACATGCACACATACGTGTATAGATATACATGTATACGTGTGCGTGTGTTTATGTAAGAGAAAAGAAGGGAAAAGAAAAAGATTCCGTGCTCTTGCTTTTTCCAGCAGCCCTTTTTCAGTTGCCGGCAGTGAGAAGGGGGCTGTGGACAACCAACACAGAGCATTGCTCAAGCCAAAGTTTCAGTGTGGTTTTTAAAAATACCCTTTGACAACTAGAAACGACATTTTCTTTTTAACATAAAATTCTAGGGACTCTTTCTTCTTCATATAAATACTTCAGTATTTCTTCCACTTCACTTCCAAATAAATTACCCTTTCTAGTATTGATAGTCTCTAGTTTCATTCTCTCTGTAGACAGCTGTTGGGTCGGACTTGTTGTTTCCTATTGCCAGAGTAGTGTTACTGGTCATGTTATGTTAAAGCCGATTCTGCTGGCTCACAGACACTTTAACTTAAAATGCAGAGCCTGAACTACACTCTGGGGCTTTGCAAGGATACAAAATCCACAAGACATAAACCCCTTTGGTTTTGGAAGATGTTTAACCCTTCTCTGCTAATTGTAATGAAAGAGTTGGAGAGATGTAAAAACACCGGGGGGGGGGGGGGTTGGGGGGGGGGGTGTT